ATATATATATATATATATATATATATATATATATATATATATATATATATATATATATATATATACTTTCTACTTCTACTTCTACTCCCAACAGTAATATATATAAGTTCTATGCCTCGGCTTCAAAGCAATCTAGAATAGCCAATTAAAGTATGACTATTACACGTGTCAGATTTCACGACTTAAGATTGTTCAGCATCGCACTAAAAAAAGGAACATCAATGGCAAAATGGAACCAACTACAGTATATACGTGTAAATACAATGTACTTAAATATGTTGATGTTGAGACGACTGCCAGCTAATTGCATTCGCGCCTCCATACATGTATTTTCGGGGACAGTCCCAATGATTAGCCTATTTTTTGCTATAAATCATGTCAAAACTAAAGCTAAACAATCCTACAAGAAATAAAATAAAGACTGAAAAAACAAACCCCCGGGAAATGACACTACAAAGTACTATAACAAATTTTAGTGCCATCATAATTAAACCCATGCATTTTACTTTCTTGTAACAATCACAAGCTATAAGCTCATGAAATAAAAGAAACAACTATATGCTCAGGTTGGACTATATGCTTTGTTGAAAGCCGCAAAGAAACACTTGAACAAAATCTGTTCACACCATTGTTCTATCAAGTTCTTATTGCCCCTACATATGCTTAAGTTACTGCAAATCAACCAGAACGTATAATCTTTTTGTGCAGTAGCGAGGATCCCTAGATGCTGATGGCGTTGGGGATGTTTCGGGGGTCTAGATAATTGAACAGCTGGAAACGTTTCTTCTTGTTTTTATACTTGATCTTTTTGGAGATGCGGCTCAGTTCTTGCTAAAACCTGGGATAACAACAAAACATGAAAATTGGATACTGTTTCATTTTGTGGAGGAAAATGCAACAACGCTGCCCAAAAAATTACTAAAATCCTTAGCCATTTAAAAAAAAAACTTACGTCATGGATTTCCTCAGCGTGCGATGGAAAAATCTCTTTCAAGTCGTCAGGATGTTGAAGCCAGAAGGACTCGACTTTCACAACGTTGTCCGGCTGACCGAGACGAGCTACCTTCGTTCCAGTCCAGAATGGTCGCTCCTGGAGTTTCCACCCGAAGAAGGCGTTGAGGATGGCGATGCTGCCTTTGATCACCGACAGCGCGACGTCTCTACCCGGGCACATGTGGTTGTTGGCCGCGGGTGTGTCCGTGAGTCGGCCGTGAAAGGTGATGTGGTGTTCCCGGCGAGCTTCGCCCTCGGGGCCGAGAAACCTCCGCCACACGAAGTCGTCTGGATTGTCGAACACAGCAGGATCCCGCGATGCCCAGTACGAACTGACATACACACGTTCGCCCTCTTTTATCTGAAAATAGGGAAAATGGGGATATAATAGCTTTGTTATGGGCTAAATATGTATGTATGTATGTATCTATGTATGTATATGTATATAGAAGAACTTTAATACTTTAATGTACGACAATTGTACTGTGTACTGTGTATGGCAAGGACTATTGAACATACTAGTAGTACAAAAACATCCAGTATGAATGTGTGTGTGTGTGTGTGTGTGTGTGTGTGTGTGTGTGTGTGTGTGTGTGTGTGTGTGTGTGTGTGTGTGTGTGTGTGTGTGTGTCCACATGTGAGTGACTTGCATTTTCTTCTGAGAGCGAAGTTCATTTGTTACTCACATTGACCTCCTTTGGACCACTTTCTGTTGTGTACTTCACAGTCGTTGGGCGTGCGGCAATGGTGCTCCAGAAGTCCGGGCTGGGAGTTCGCAGTACTTCCAACACGAAGCTCTCAGTTTTCGGCATCTCCTCCAGGGCCGCTCGGGTCAGGCCGCCGTGTTTCCTCAGGGCGGCAAGCGCTTCCTCCCGTAGCTCCTGCCGGTCCTCCGCGCTGATGGTGTCCAAGCGGGCGAAGGATGCCACCAGGTTTGCTTTGATGCCAGCAACTCCGTTGAACATTACCGAGAAGAGCAGTTGTCCCGTGGTCTCTTCCTCCTCTAATCCGTGTGATCTACCCAGCTCTATCAGATGGTGGTACCTTGGAATACAAAAGAAGGATGGGGAACTTTAATGTGGACAATGCCCCCTATACAACGACTTGACAAAATCAAGAAAAAATTCTAGAACGGCGACGGTGGTTGCTGTTAGGGTTATTGTTTGCATTGCACTGCCATCATTTGAAGAAGACTTGGTACCTATACAGATACAGTGCACTCGACTCCTCTGAGTGTATAGTGAACAAGCCCCGGAGTCACAGAAAGTAGGGCATCTGGGGCAGAGAGGTCTTCCCAAAGGTTTCCAGGAATGTGGGCATAGATGTGGGTCAGAGACATGCCTGTGGACATTCCATTCCTGTGGACAAAATGCCTGTACGATTCCTAGAATTCTTGCGAATTGCACACAATACTGTACCATTAGGCTCCTCCCTGAGACGTCGCCAAAAAAAAGATAATTTGTTACGGTAAATCCTCACCACCTACCTCTCTGATGTCTTAATTGTCTCGAGGACAGACCTCATTCCTCGACGCGTCTCGGTGAGATCTTCACGCGTCAACGCGGCCACGATGTCTGATCTTAATTCAGTTGCACCTTTGAGATAGAGGTTGACATCCTCGGGATTGAAACGTGTTGATCTCCCGAATATGGTGGGAGAAAAGCGCTCGCTGACACTGCCGCTAACTTCGCTTCGAAGTCGGTTGGTCTGCTTCCCCAGGTGGCGATGTTGGACAGCACGGCGTCTGCTGTTGATGTTGGGATCTCTTCGGAGGTACCGGCCACGATGTCAATCAGCAGCGCCTTGTTTCTCTCGTGGATTTTCCCGTTCGAGCTGAAGCAGGGACAGACACCCTCCGTAAAGTCCTTCCGGGCTTCCACCAGGCCAACGTGGAATTCCTCCTTTCTGAAAAAGGTCGATGTCATCAAAGACGGACTGCGCGCTCTTGTTCCCGGTCACCACACGGCACGGAAAACCGATGTTTGTCTCCACGAAATCTTCTTTCCGATCAGGTGTGAAGGACTGGTTGCCGCTCATCAGCCATTTCAGGTGTCCAAGTGCGTTACCCATGATTATACCTTTTCTGTAAAAAAAAAAAGTTTAAAAGAATGTCAACGAAATAGGACACAGAATTGGGTTGTGGAGCCGGGGGCTAAAAAAATGATGGTTTAACACAGTCTGGCTGACGTGCGGAAAACGTGTAGGGGTTGGGTCTGATATCTGACAGAGAATCCCAGGCTTTTGTGGTCATGTCTTTGGGACTCGAAGTGCGACTTGCACCACCGAAAGTTAATAACATGTTTCTGTGCGTATACCTGGCACATACATGCTGTAAAAAAAAGTCCTGGTCAGTAAATGTAACAAAAACATCGGACTTAAGTCGGATGGATTACCTTGTAACTCGTACCACCAAATACAGTAAAAAAAACAGTGGCTTTAGAAACAATCACTTAATATGCTGCATCTGTAATCCCCAAGGTATGCAAGACAAGCGTCAACTATCAAGACGTTCTTGAAAAAGCCCCGATGAGATCATTCTTTAAATGTGATAAATAATTCCCTCCTGCCATGTGCCTTTTGTCCTGCCCCTGGATCTGTGTTGCATTTTGTGCGCGGTCTGCAATTAACGTTAATGGGTACGTATATACCGGTTTGACGAGGACAGAGGGGTTCAGAGAATCTATAGGAACGAAGCTGCCTACAAATACTAATATGTGTGGTCGTGTGGCGTAGCGGCAGAGTGCGCCACACGGAACTAAGAGTCCCGGGTTCGAGTCCTGACATGTCACCGATCTTGTGCCCTTGGGAAAGGCACTTTGCACGACTTTCCTCACTTACAGGTGTAAATGAGTATTGTCCTGTCGTGTATTTGTCCCCTGTGTTGGTGTCGGCATTAATATAAGTTGAAAAAACTTGAATGTGTCCTCACCACGTCTGGTGATTACATGTTGGAATATAAAAAAATACCAATATGTAAAAACCGTCCCAAAGTCCCAATCTCGCGTCACTCCCCGAAAAAATTAACGCCGCCGCCCCGCAAGGCTGCGAAAAAGGCTAGCTCTCTGCAGCCGGGGGCTGAATTGCGAAGAGCTTATAATTGTATCAGGACAGAACTAGTACTGCAGGTACTAGTACCCGGTTTTGTCGTCGGGAAAAAAACATATGTTAGAAAATACGAGTAAATTAGATTCCTTCTTAATAAGTATTTAGTTTAGATTCGTTAGCGTGTATTTATTGAAAGAATGAAAGACCTTTATTGCACATTTATGCTCTTTCGAGCTAAGTACAGGTCATGAAGACAAACTAAATAATACTATTGTTTACAGGATCGACTTCTTCTCGCTTCTTAAAACAATTGTAGATGAATGAACATATAGAACTTACAAAACACGGCTTGTCTAATTTCATAAGATATATAAATTTGTCTAAACTATTCAAATATTTAAAACTAGGAAACTTATTTTGAATACAGTTAAAAAGAATATTTCGCTCGCTATTGTATAAAGAGCAATCTACAACAAAATGACACTCGTCTTCTATCTTATCTAAATCACAATATCGGCAAATTCTTTGCTGCAAGGGAATGTGGTTGTGTCTGCCTTTTATTACGATGAAATGAAAATACCACAAGAAAATGAATCGTATAAGCCTACAGCTTGTGACCTGAGCAACATCAACATCCAGCTCCCCCAGACACAGCAGCTGGCTGAAGACAGAGGAAAGTGGCGGGCCCTGACAAAGCTAGTCAGCTCTACGCACCACGTGCAAGAGGATTGAGTGAGTGAGTGAGACCCCGATAAACATATACTGAATATCATAAACTGACAATTTCAAACACACCTTGAGTTATAAAGATGCAAATACACAAACACGACCGAAAACAGCACAGAAACGAGAAATGATATTTCCTTTCCCGGAGTTAACAGAACTGCTGGCGGGATAGTGCCTGTGCACCATTACTAGTAGTCTGCATTAATAATGCCAGACTCTTGCAAAAGATAAAATCTTCTCTTATAACAGTAATTCCGAACGCGACGCTGCATTATGATAAGTAAAATAGTTTTTCTGCTTCTTTACATGTAATGATGGCTTTGCATAGGTTTGGAAGTGTTCGGACGGAGACCTGGCGCATTCTGTCGGCTATCAGCATAAGAATTAGGGCATGTCATCCCGTAGCCTAGGCGCAAAACAACCCCGACAGTGAGAAAACACGGCGACCAGAAGTCAAGAAGGAGAATTGACGTGTTTAAAACACCTGGCAAACCATCCTTGCTCTGACGCTGTGGGCACTAAGTGTCACTGAGTGTACTTTCACATATGTATTACATTTCGGGAAGGAATCCAAATTCATGAAAAAAAACTTACGTTTGTCTTGTCGTGTTGCGGCGGTCTGACTGCTTTGAGGCTCTCGAGTCGTTGTGCGACCACGCTCTGCCCCCGGCACCTTTAACCCAGCAACGCCTCATTAAACTATTATAATTACCTACTTGAATATTGTAATGAGATGAGCAAAGGTGTCGTCGACGATCTTTTGTGTTTCAACCATGCTTCACAACCATACACGTGTGTTTTGTGTCATGCAATTCTGTAGATGGGTGAAGGAATTCAATTTGAACTAGAGTATACTTAGTCTAGACGTTTATATACACACGTTTATGTAAAAATTACTATGACTGTTTTAACAGTTATATGTGTGACCTGTATTTAGCTCGGTGGGGAAAGGTTGCAAGGTAGTTGCTTTTTTGGAGCTTCAAGCTCCAGGCTGTGGTCATTTGTATGACGGAATGTGGCTACTAGACGGGATAACTTGACAACCTGACAATTAACCAAAACTCATACATGACGAAAGTATGAAGTCATCGACCTCTTGTTCACCATGCATGGCCGGAGGCCAAATAGCTCACTGTCCTTCATAAAGTGGCTCCGTCGACTACTGAGAAATGGCAGCCTAATCACCCAGCATATTCTGTGGGGCAAGGGTGAGTCTGTGATACTGGCCGCCTGTAACCATTTGCCACCCCATAACGTTACGCTAGGCGAGGCCAATGGACAATGGACTTTAGGAAAATTCAGCCACTTTTAAACCACGGGAATCTAATGAGACAGTCTCAACATTTATTTTGATTACTGAACAACGAATCACAAAACCTCCTTCCAAACATTAGCCTTACATTGAAAAACAGTCACCGTAATGAAAGTGCCTTATCTACAAGACCATACGTACAAATAACATTTCTTGTCTAACAGTTTTTTGCGGCATAGTTTGCCAAAAAAATTCAGAAGAGGTTGAAATTGTCAGAAAATCTGAGCAAACTTGAAGGACTGCCCTATTCAAAAGAATTCTTATAATACACAATATAGGCAAAACAATTGTACATGCACAGCAGATTGAAACATTTCAGTATATATAGAATTCAACAATTTACCCCAAAGTGCCTTTTCAATCACTAGGCAAGCTTAAATTGGTACTTTTTTGTCCATATCTATGCATACAAAGATCCAGCAATTGCTCATTCCCTCAGAACAATGCACTAGTTAGTTAAACACCCCATAAAAATGTGCAACTAACAATGCTCAGGTGTAGCAGGCCAGAATATACGTACCCGGGTACATTCTGACTAGGGGTAGCATCTGGCCTACTACACCACTAACCTTCAACACACATCAGATATTTACCATCAACAATAATGCTTACAATGAAACTCGTATATGTACAGTCTTTTCAGTCACTTCTTGCCAATTTTCAAGATTTCAAAAGACAACTGGTCATTTAAGACATTTAATCTTTTTACAATGCAAAGTGGGAATATGCCACTATATGTATGTGCTACACAGGTTAGCTGTAAAATGTGCACAACATGTGGACACCAAGGCACTTTGGTAAATCTAAATCTACTGTTGCACCAAATGCTTCATAATGACATTTCTATTATATGGGTCTGTCATTTAAGGCTTTGAGAAGTAGTCATGTGGCTACATCATAGTATCTATTCTATCAGTTTTTGTTTTTTTTGCTATGATGGTGGGTTGAATTCAGTTGGGGACCACACGCTACTGCCCATTCGGGTACCGCCACCTGAGGATGGCTCCGTCTGTGCTGACGCTGACGATGTGCCTCTGGTCAGGAGAGATCTTTAGTTTGGAGATGTCCCCGCTGTGGCCGATACCGACGTGGGTAACTTCTCCTTCATCGTACTTCCACACCTGTAACAAAGCAAGACTCGTTTTCATTGGATGGGAAACAAACAACAACAGATAGCGAATGGTCATGTTCTAAGTTAGGGTCAAAATTTTAAATACTACTGGCTATGATACATGTAATAGAAATATGATGAATCATATTTTAACCTTCAGTCTGCTAATAATGCCACCAAATGATACTGCAGTCATTTGAAACCAAATAAAGATATTGGTATACAGCATTGTTGTGTAGGTTGTAATTTTACATTTTAGTTGCATTTGTTGCTTATTTCTAATTGATAGCTATAATTTTTTAATTAAAATTTGATCAGCAAACTTCTTGAAGAGTTTTGGAAACTGACAATAGTTGTTGATACATGTTTGGGGAGGGCCACACCTCAGGCATGTTAAAGAACCTACCACATTTATGAAAAAACAGTAGATTATGAGTGGATCAAACCTATCAATCCAATGTTATGCAGCTTGTTCTTACAAATTAAAAGTACAAACCAGGTAATCTCCAAGCAGATCTTTTGGTGGGGGTAAGACAGTATCAAATTGGCCTATTTGGCCATGATGGTGGGTTGATGATGATGATGGTGGCCATGATGGCCAAATTGGCCATTTTGGGTGGGGAAATTGTTACAGACTGGCCAATTTGATACTGTCTTACCCCCACCAAAAGATCTGCTTGGAGATTACAAACCTGGCCTTCAGGCAGTTTACCAGTAAGTAACACACACAAACAAACAAACAAACAAACAAACGAACAGACTGACCTTGATGAGTTTGTCGTCACCACCAGTCACAAAAGACCCCCCTCCAGGAGAGATGTCCATCCCGTTGATGGCACCAGACTTGGAGCCGTCCAGTTCTCTGATCTGATTCCCATCATAAACTTCCCAGTAACCAATCTGCAGGAGAAATAGCATTCATTTAGTAAAAGATTCAAGTTTCAAGTTTATTTATTTTACCAGGGCAGGTATCAGGTACATGTATAAATACACATACATTGTATTTATTTTCATTTCTATGCTCACACACAATACCTATCATTGAAGCCTACTCTTTCATTGGTTGAGTCTTATAGCAGCCCTTTTATCATTGCTTGAACCATGTATATAGCAGCCCTTCTTTCATTGGTTGAGCCTACAGCTGAGTCCTTCTTTAATTGGTTGAGCCATGTAGTAGCCCTTCTTTTATTGGTTGAGCCATGAAGTAGTCTTTCTTTCATTGGTTGAGCCAATGTAGTAGCCCTTCTTTCATTGGTTGAAGCCATGTAGTAGCCCTTCGTTCATTGGCTGAGCCATGTACTGGCCATTACTTCATTGGTTGAAACTTATAACAGCCATTCTTTCATTGGTTAAACTCCTAATTTTGAAGGGCATTTCATTCTATTAAAAAGCATGAAATCTGGTCCTACCTTCCTGTCTGTACCAGAGGTGATGACTTGGAACTCGTCAGGATGGTAGTTCACACAGCGGAACAGGGTGTTGGCAAACAGGACCTGGTTCCTCACAAATCGTCTGGTGAAAGGACAAAGAACAATGTAAGCTTGGATGCATACCTACTTAAGTACTACAGTTTGTTTATTCAGTGAAGCAGTTGACCAATGAGTCCACAAAAACTAATTCATTGGTCCTTTAAAAGAGGACATTAATTCATCCATCCATCCATCCCCATATCCATCCTTCCTTCCTTCCTTCCTTCCTTCAGTCCATCCATCCATCCATCCATCCATCCATCCATCCATCCAAACCATCCATCCATCCATCCAAACCAACCAACCAACCAACCAACCAACCAACCAACCAACCAACCAACCAACCAACCAACCAACCATCCAACCAGTTAAACACCTGCTTACCCATACCAACATGCACACAGAAACACACACTACAAGTGACACCTCCAATTCTGCCCTTAAGAAGAAGACAATCACATGATATTTAGTTACTTACTGCAGGTCCCAGATGATACATGTGCCATCACTGCTGGCTGTCACACACTCCATGTCATTCTTGCGCACCTTGATGCAGGTGACGGAGGCCTTGTGCTCCTTCATGGCCTCAACAAGCTTCTGGTAGGACGGTGTGATGTCCCACACACGCACCTGGGTTTCATTTTAAAAAAGATGTTCTTAGTTTCCTTTAAGTTTCACCTAAGTTCACAGACCTATAAGACATGTTTTGTGATCATCTATATATAGTTCAAAGAACCACAGGAACTGTTTTGGGTATTTGTGAATGAATTGGAACTGAGGAGGGGATACTATGATGTAATTTAATCGGGTACTACATCACCTCCTGAATTCCTCCACATACCACCAACTTACATGTCTTCCTGAAGTTCCATTGTGTTAGCACTATTGTTTCAATGGCAAACTCAAAGACATTCACAGTTGGCACAAAATTTAAGTGAAAAAGAGATGTAATGTCAACAAATCAATAATGAAAATGCTTCCAGGCTATAACACAAAAAGACAGTGTGATTACCTGTCCCTCCCCGCCACCACTGATGATACGCCTGCCGCCGTTGGTGCAAGCGATGGCGGTGACTCCCTTGGGGTGAGCGTCATTAATAACGAACATCTCCTTCCCCGTCTCTGGGTAAAACGCTCGGATCTTCCCATCATTCCATGCTGGGTTCAAGGAAAATGATCAGGTTTACTTGAATGTACTTTTCATATCCTTTATAGTATATATGCTACTTTAATACACTAAATGCTGATTGGCTCACACTGTATGTTACGAAGGTTCCTATTGGTGTACAGGTGCTAGCCTTGGTGCTGATTTGCTCACTGTATATGTTACATACGAGGTTCCTATTGGACTATAGGTGCTAGCCTTGGTGCTGATTGGCTCACTGTACATGCTACACTGGTTCCTATTGGCCTACAGGTGCTAGCCTGGGTGCTGATTGGCAGGTGCTAGGCTTGGTGCTGATCGGTTTGCTGGATGCTACACTGGTTCCTATTGGCCTACAGGTGCTAGCCTGGGTGCTGATTGGCAGGTGCTAGGCTTGGTGCTGATCGGTTTGCTGGATGCTACCTGGCTTCTTATTGGACTACAGATGCTGTGTGGTCTACTAATTGGCTCACTGTACATCATGTACATGTAGGTTGTTATTGGCCCCACAGATGCTAGCCTTGGTGCTGATTGGTTCACCAGATGCTACATAGCTTCCCATTGGTCTATAGGTGTAAGACTGGTGTGTTACACCTCACCAATTATACAAAACAAGTAAAAAAGCATTACTCACCACTGACGATACACTTGCCGTCGGGCATGAAGTCTATGGCATGACACAGTTCCTTCACACTGATACGCAGCAGCTCCTTCCCCTTGTCTGCGTGCCAAACACGGATGTCATCCTTGGAGCAAGTCGCAAAACAGCTCTGAACACTCCCTGTAGGATTCCGAGATGGAAAATTTAAGTCATAATAGCCTCTTCAATGGCTTCAAAGTCATACAAGGACTTATGCTTTGTACATTTAACATTGGGCTAAGCTCCCTAGAGCAGTGCTTGAAAAACCGTGTGATCCAAGGGCTATAGAAAGATTGGCACCGCCCTATAAATGATACGACTGCTGTTTTGAAAGAACCTAAACCAACCTTTAAGTTCTGAACCAAAGCCTACATTTGACACAGCAAATGCATTTACAAAATATTATACCTATCAGTATCATAATGATTATGCAATATGGCGGCACTCACCGTGGGAAGACAATATCACGCACAGCGGCAAAGTGGCAGGAGCGGGTCAGCTCGGAGGTGAACTCTGCAAAGTTGAAACGGTAAATCTGCGACTTCTCCGTCCCGACAAAGAACTAGAGAAAGAAACATCATCATTAGAAATTGACCTTTACCTTCAGATTACCTTAAACAAAATTATATGTGTCTCTTAAAAGATTTGTCCAGAACATGATTCTAGTACTGTACAGTAGTAAACACAATCCATGTAAATAAGAGTTTTGACACTGGAACTATAGACTATTTCATATTGCAGACTTCAAAGATTATTTTCTGACTCAAAGACAAATTATATTATAATAATAGTGGATAGATTATTACCTGATGTCCTTCTCCACGAAGGGCCACTGACTTGATGCCTCCTTCTACCTTAGCAGTCCTGGAACAATGGAAGAGGATTGCATTGTACATGTATTCACTCACAGGACTTGGCATTCTTCTACTTGACCAGGTAAAAGTTGTACATGTATTCATATTTAGCACCATGTAGTGCCACATTACATATCACTTCTGTAATAATGCGCTCAACTTAAAAAAGCAATTTCTATAGACAACTTTCAAAAAATACTACATGCCAGATATATACCAATCAAAATTGAACTAGAGCCCCACAAGTACCGATACTGAATCTTTTAGTACTGAATCTTTTGATAAATGATATTCGAACATATTGTGATAAGAGGCAATTATGTATCACAATCATCCCTGGGACCCTTAAAACAATTACAATCTTTACTCACTGATTGGCCAGTTTCTTGAACGTAGCTTTCTTGTCCTTCTTGTTGACAGCCTGTGTAACCACGGCAACTGTCCCGTCTCCCCCGCCGACCAGGATGTTTCCGGTCTTCAGCAGAGCCATGGAGGTCACCCCCAGGCTGAACTTGTCCTTCTCGGGACCGTAGTGTTGGAACAGCTTCGTTTTTGTGTTGATGGCCAGGATGTCGCCGCTGGTTGTACCGCAGTAGAAGTAATTATCGTCGTCTTTCACCTGAAATATACACAAGAAAATTATGAGCATCATCATCTATGTTCATCAACAATAGCTCTGAAACAATTAATATCAGCCATTTGCCAGAGGTGTACCTCAAGGCATGGTACTGGGACCAACACATTGGATTCAGAAATTATTTTCCTATTTTTCATTAAGTATACTGTAATTCACTTTATGTTCACGGTAGCAAAATTTCACGGTCTGAGAAAAATGGACATGTTCACGGAACTATATGTTCACGGTGGTGACAGGTGCAGAAAAAAGAAAGTCCAGGAATTATTTGTTAACTGTAATGATAAGTTCACTGTACAGAAGCAACAGTGAAAACAGTGAACTTATCAGTACAGTGAACAAATCAGGAATTGCAGTATTGAATTCTTTACATTTGTTTTGATTGTGTTGTAATTAAGGTTTATTGAGGAATAAAATGGACTAACATCAAACAAAGAAATTACTAAGGATGCTCCACGTTATTAATAAGTACTTTTAAGTTACCTCAATGCACTTGACAATCCTCTTGATCTGTCCCATGTTCACATCCGTTGGTCGGATCTTTCTGTTGGCCACGTCCAACTCCCAGACACGGAGGGTTCCACTGCATAACACAGTTAAATATACTTATTTAGTAACAGTATGCATTTTATATAGTACCACATCATGGTAATCACCATGATAATACACAATCTTTCCTGACTTTCTGTTTAAACCCTGATTCAACTGTATCAGTTACAAGTGAGAAACTCTGATAATGTATACAAATAGCTCAGTGTATATAGATTAAGAGATATACATGTATATTCAATTTGATGAGAGTTTAAAAAAAAATAGTGTTCAATAACGGATTCAATTCTGTTTTGTGCTCTCATGCCTTGTGCATGTACACCTGTACCTCAAAAAAATCTCAATATGCTTGGAAAATATCTCAAGATGTTTTGAAAAAAATCTCAAGATATATATATGTATATATATATATATATATATATATATATATATATACAGAGTATTCAATATATAAAATGTATCTACTTACTCTCCACCAGTGAAGAACAGGTTGTCATTGTTGTTGGCAAACTTGACACAGTAGGTGATCCCTGCACTGGACACTGCTGCAGGACTGCCACAGATGGCCTCTTTGTTGGCAATGTTCCACACCACAACACTGTACATCAATAATATATGATAGTCATTTATTGCACAACAGTTAAACAAGGTAAAAAGTATCCGTAAATAATTTCATCATGTTGGTTAACGAGTGAATAGCAAAGTTCTTTGATTACAACCATCTATTTTTACCTGAGCCATTTATTTTTCCCAGCTAGGGAAAAATGAATGGTTGTTATCAAAGAACTTTGCTATTCAAGGTAAAAAGTAATTGGCATCTACTGGACAGGTACATTAAGGCAAATATACCTAAGTTACAAGAGACTTCTAGGAAGCATTTTGGGTTTTTGTGACCTTCAAGTTCACCACATTTCGGGTGTCCGACCTTTTGATCTGTCATTTTGTCTGTCAATCTTTTCCATGCGCTGTCAACTTACTCTCCACGTCACCCCGTATCATTACTTTTTGACCTATCATTCTGCCTGTCAATCTTCCTCCTGACCCACGTGCTGTCAACTTTCTCTGTCCAGTCAAGTGTACAAATTATTGAATCTCTGACACAATGTTTTTGCAACATTGACAATATTAAGTAAGATATCTATCAAGATATGTTCAATTTCAAATATATGTAAGATATGTTTAATCTAAAATTGATGGGCAGTGCAAAATGAACATGACATTTGAACTCTGACCTGCTGTCGTCCTGTCCACCCAGCGTCACCAGGTACTTGTCGTTGGGAGAGAAGGCCAGAGCCTCAACTTTGACCTTGTGCAAGGTCAGTCTGCAGTACATGCTGCGCGACTTGAAGTCCCAGATGATGACATCTGCCTGGAAATACAAATCAGTCATAGAAATCAATTACAACAGTTCCAAATGAAAGACTGCAATCTTTTTTGTAAAGGATTTTGATAGAATTAAATCTCCAGGGATTTTTCAACAAAAGTTGACAATGTACAGAGCTTTTCCAAAAACAAATTAAAAAAAATTAAAGTTTTCCTCAATAATTATATGTGTAATTATCAATGTAATACCACTAGTGCAGCTACACAGAAAAAATACTTGAGCCCTGCAACCTATACACTATGTTGGAATGTAGTGGCATCTATTGTCCCAACAATTTTTAACACTATGATTTTATATGAATGCAATTATTACCTTGAAGCCCATATGAGTGACCTGTCCGGAGGCCAGGTAGTTTCCACTCTTGGACACAGCCAGACACCTGACATCGTTGGTGTGTCCACTCAGGAAGTACTGCTTGCTGCTGACAATGTCCTGAATGATGACCGTGCAGCCCAGGGGGTATACCATGTGTTGTCTGTCAGGGTGGACAATCAAACCACCTGGAACATCACCTGGGACAAGACAAAACATACCGTAAATTCATTTCTGTTTCCCATGATTTTATGATATAATTCGCATATATTATGTATTGTCGTACAGGGGGGAAAGGAGGCTCATTTTGAAATTGCTGAGTTTTTAAGTTCAAGTCATTGAAGTACTCAACTGTTACGTCACTGTAAATATTTAAATTTTTGCAGCATTTGTATACTGCTAAAATCTATATATTTTCAGCACACAGTGTAGTCATTGTAGCACTTCAGTGTTATGATACTGAAAATCCATACAGTACACTGACAGATATTGACATGACGTAGACTCCAAAATACAGTAATTTTACAACAGACAAACTATAATAATCCAAGACAATAGCTTGCATTTAATACTAGTAGTCGATTTGGAAATACATGATGTACATTTTAAAATTTAGATCTTTATGATTTAGCACCTGTACTGACTTCATGGCCGAAAAAAATTAAAGTTTCTGAAGTTATAATTGTCGCTATGACGTTGTCTATTCATTTTGAAGTTCTATCCATGTTCCAAAATTTTGACACGATCGACGTCCATCCTCAAATAATTTGTGTTATACAATAATACAACTTCTAGTTTACCAATACATGTATTACCATTTCTAGTAGCTTTCCCATTAAAAGTACATAGTATTTTGAGACTAGAGTCTTGTGCTCGTTGTTGTACGTGGCAGCAAATAATTAAATCAAGATGTACTAAAACGCCTGGAAGTAACATGGCGAAAGTCAACAAATCGACTTCGACAGGAATTTTCAAAAGAACAAAATTGTGTTTCCAAATTTTACCTGCAAAACCGATCGTGCAGTCTAGCTCGAGTTTCCCCACGGTGTCCTCGGTTGCTGTACTCATCTTGGTTTCTCTTGAGTTGGTTTGAGGAGGAAAGTTTCGGCAGTTTTTCGTCGCTAGTTTGAATGAAGTGTAGCGGCGGCACCAGGCAACAAACAACACCAACAAACTAGAGAACTGGTCATGCGCAGACAACCTAATGCTGTCGGCATGGTAACCGAAACTCGATCCCAGAGTATCCAGGTACAGACCAGGCCCTTCGTAGGTGAAAACGTTTTTAAATAATAAGATACATAACCATTTCACCCTGAATGTTCAGTCAAAAGAATCTAAAATTTAAAATATTGATACATATCAGTATGCTTTAAACCTTTGGGCAATTATCTCTCATTATTTTTGACATAAAACAGAAAATAAAGCACTCCCCCCCTCCGATCCACTTTGGTCTGGCCCTGACAGACGATACCACAAAGCGTCGTCCCCAGGGCGCTTGGCACAATGAGGTCAGAGTTCTATTCCCGGCAGGCTTTGTGGGCGTTGCCTGGCGGGCTTTTCAAATTGCTTTACAGAGATGTTGCACGTCTACTCGGAAGTTGGGTTCCTGTGCCAAAGTTGATTAAAATGACAAATTATTATCAGTCGTTAACCCCAGTTTGTCTAGAGGATTGCAATATTTTTCTTTCATGCAGGGTTGGAAGACAAAATCATTGCAAACCATAGGTGAAGACACTGTGACTGAGGTATTTCCGTAAAATTATGTGGTTTATTGATTCAAAGTTAACTTTTAATCAGACGAATTATTCTCAGGATGGCAAAGTGATCATCAATAGATTCATTAACGTAACGTTACAGTGATTGTTTTTACAGTAATCCAATCATTGCTTCTACTTTCGACTAACGTTAATGATTGCAGGTAAATCTAATCATTTCGTCAATAACTTCCTTTTATACCTGTATCGTCTAGTGCTACGCTGCTGATGGTGCTTGATATCGACTGCGGTCTGTTTTCAGCACTGATTGAGCATTATCTTTTTATGATGGACTTAAATTTGCGAAGACACTATAACGGCATAGAGCACTGATTATGTTGAATTTGGAAATATATTTGAAATGTGGAAAAGTCGAGTGGCATCTGCGTGTTGGGGATGTAGCTCAGAGGTAGAGCGCTCGCTTCGCATGTGAGAGGCCCCGGGTTCAATCCCCGGCATCTCCAGTTTAATTTTCTTTTAGTTCTTGCCGGTGTCCTGGTCCAATTTGTGCCCCTACCAAAGTTGCCCCCGACATTACGTGGGGTTTTCCAGTTTACTTGACGACGAGGGTTGGGAGGGGGCTTTGTCACACTATGGAGACTATAAAACCTAACCCCAACCCTAAACCTAACCAGAACAATAATCCTAACACTAGCATTAACCTAACCCTAACGATAGCCCCAAACTCCGGTCACTGGCCCACAGAGCACTGGCAGAGCGTTTTGCGACTCTGAAATGTTGTTGTAGAACCGTAATAACCCCTTTTGTTCTAGCCTAGCAACGGCTGGCGAAAAGGTTTGCTTACAGGCACAACGTACTGGTCAAACCTACAGCAGTGCACAACTGTGTGGCCCAAGGGCTACAGAAATTGAGATGGGCACCACCCCTATGCTCCGCATGGAGTGGGACCAGGTTTCTCACAGCACGTCACCACTGCGAGACTGTGTCGCTGTGCCCTGTGTTAGGACAATGTCAACGTGACTCCGAATCACAAGAAAAAATGCGTTCTTCATAAGCCTTTCCAACGATAAATCATTTTATGAAACCACACCTAAAGCTACCTATACATGTTGCACAAAGTCGTTGCTATGTACACAGCCCCTTGACCATTGTGCTATGTACAACGTGTCGGCAAACATAAGTACGTACATGTACAAGGTGAAACGCAGTTCAGTTGTTGGTGTTTCTACGAGCGGGCGTCGTGTGCAGAGTTAGAGAGATGAAGCCTCCGGCAGACGACAGCACCAAACCTGAGGTGGACTTCTCTGAAGCAACAAAAGGGGTGAGTAGGAGATGGTTGAATATGCAACAACATCATTAAGACCCATACAGATCGTCGCACGATCGAAAACTGGGGGCAGGCATTATTTGGGATAGTCGTGCATAAAAAATCTGCTGTCTTGTTATGGAAAGGCCCTTGTCGGCACTTGATTTTGTCAGTGCTGTCAGCCTACTTGAAAGTTCTACGACATAAAAATCGTATCTGACGACCTACAAAGAATGTGGCCGTGCCGAAAAGAAGAAATTCTGTCTATCAGTTCCTTTTAAGAAGCCCATTCTTCAGTTAGAGATTTGCACGTAGGTGCCAACGACAAAATCAAAATCAAATCTACCTTGCGACTAGATCTTGAAATAACATTGTTACAGCGAAGAATAGATTGTATGTCTTCAACGGGTTGTAACATGTTACAGAAACTTTGGTAATGCAAGATAGCCGGACACATACAGAAAAATTTTACTGAGGGTTACACTTAAGTACAAGAACTACCACACCCTATACGTGCCCGTTTAAATACATACCATTTTAGTACGTGCAGTTGTGATCAAAACTCGGTAAATGTCACATTTCAGCTTGAATGTTATTTCATGACTTATAAACTAAAGATATATGTTGACTTTCAGAAACTGACTTGTCTACTGGCCTTTTGTGTGCTTGTTGCCGACTTGGGATCTTTCCAGTTCGGATACACAATCAGTGTTCTCAATGCACCAGAACAGGTACGTGTACATTCATTATACATTCTTTTCTTTGTCTTAAAACCTAAGTTGTACTTCCTTGACAATATCGATGACGATTTGGATACATTTTCTATAGCATCATTTGGGTTTTGTTTTAGAATATCTTTTCAAATACTCATTTGCGCATAGTCTTGAAAATACACGAGAGAGTGCCAAAAAAAAACTTCCTTACTACAGTACCAAAGAGTGATGCACTACTTTTTTCTATCTGGCAACGCCCAGAATTATAAACAACTTATCAGGACTTATATCGTTTTAAAATTCTTTATAACTTCAGACAAAGATCAACCTACAAAAATTTTCTTCTTGATTAAATTACACTGTTACTATTCACTAGATGCTCAAGATTAAAAATAGAACCTTTTTGCGTCCTGACAACAACCGAACTCATTGTTAGCAATTAAAAATAGACAATTTTTTTTTGACATGACACGCTAGCTTCCGAATGACATTTCAAGTGAACGGCCATTACCCAGATAAAAAGGCCACGTCTCCCATTGTTTAACTCTTACAGGCATTTTAATTTATTGGGCGTGGGGTGGGAGTAATGGAGGCGTTGTACGCATTTCCTTTGTTCGACACTTTAATAACTCAACCATTTGTTGACATTTGTACAAGTCCGAGCTCCATTCCTACCTCGGTATATACACAAGAGGCGGGTGCGTAGACGTTTAGTTGATAAATGTTAGGATCATAACGTAATACGTCACCATCTTTAACCCGGACAACAGCTAAGCACCCGGCTTAGTGCACGTAGCCCGTATTGTACATTCCTTGGTTACGCTGCTGCAAAAGGATGCTGAGAGGGCGTTTGGGGGGTACGCTGCTATTACCCGGGCGGCTATGTCAATGTTATGGTAGTAGAGGGCTCTGGGTATTTCGTGACCGAAATATTTGTGCACGAGTTAAAGACAAGCTTGGGTAAAAGGCAGGTTTGATTTGTGCCTGTTATATATAAGGCAGCAAGGTCTGTGGTTAGGTGTGGAATCAAAGGTTCTGGGTTCAAATCCCTAACATGCCCACAGCGTGTGCCCTCAGCGGCGTTTCAATACTGATAAAACGTGCTAAGATATGGCAATAAATGTCAATATCAGACAGATTTCCTCATCCAGAATATGTTTTGCCGCCATGAAATTGCATTGGATGCCTTTAGATAAAGCTATCCTCTCTGCTGATGCTCCCTACAAGTTACACGTACTTGTTGTGTTGTATTCATACACTACAGGAGCTTCAGAAATTCTATAATGAGTCGTTCTTCCACTTGTTCGGTGTCGAACTGGGCAGCGACCACTCGACTCTGCTGTGGTCCTGCACCGTGTCAATCTACTGTCTCGGGGGGCTGTTCGGCTCGCTTATGGTCGGACCTCTCACCGGATCGTTTCTTGGAAGGTAGGACCATTTAAGATCAACATTAATCTTAATAATTAACTTTAAATTTAATGCCAGGCGCCGGAAGTTGTTGTACTCCTTTGCTTCGCGTCTGTTAGCGTCTGAGAACGCAATTGTCAAACTGCTGCTCCGCTCGGAGACCTTCTGCTCTAGTCCATTATGGAGAAATTACTGTAGACTGGTCCGCCCACCGTAAGGGTTCGACAGTCTTTTATCTATTTGTACCCACCTAGATGTTTTATTTTAGATGTGTTTGTGTAATGTTGTGTGTCTGTGCTATGGGCCATTGAGCCGGAAATAAACAACGAATAAATTAATGCAAACACAAAGGGCTCGAACCCAACTTTTCTACCGTGCGGCACCAGTCTTTGTCAAGAAATGAATCCATAGCTTCTATGACGTCACGCCATGCAAATTAAAGACTTGTGAGCAGTAGACCAAGCCTCTGAGCACCATCGTAACAGAGAAGAGGATGCAGCTGGCAGGACATATCCTCCGTCTGCCCAGCAGAAGGCACTCTAAGACAGCGATGACTTGGGTACCCCATAACGGCAGAAGAAATAGGGGAAGGCCGAAACACACCTGGCGCAGGACCTTCCAAGACGATCTAAGAAGGGCAAACATCCCCTGGGAGGAGGCGGAGACAGTGGCCGCTGACAAAAAGAAGTGGAAGCTTGCTGCCCGATGTGCCATTCGGCACAGGAGGAACTAAGGTCTAAGGTCTAAGGAGCAGTAGCCCGAATGTAGCAAATAATCTGTGGCGTCCTCCGTCTAGTGACACTGATGAATTTTCAAGATACGATAAAATCGTCTTGTTCGAACTCCAAATCAAGTTATAACACAGTGAGAATGTTTATAGTTTTGTGTAGATGGATATCGCGAACTATAACCTCCTAAAACAACCCAACAAAGCTTGACTCGATGGTTGACGGTATTGTATGTTTTATTCCTCCTGTAGGAAATGGACCATGGTGAGCATCAACCTTCTGTCTGTCACCGGCGCCCTGCTGATGTGGGGTTCCCGGATGCAGACGTCATTCCAAATGATCAATCGTGGGGAGGACCATCATGGGGGTGCACAATGGTTACGGTCCACTAGGGCTGGGGGGGGGGGTGGTTCGGTGGTGTTGTTTTTTTCTGCTATAGCCTATAGGAATCACGTACTGTTTTATTCTATTTGATAAAATGATGCATACTCGACGAAATCCGTACCTGGATATGCATGTAGAGAGATTTGTCTTTGTGTTTAAAATAGATGTGTATTTCATAATAATTCAGTATTGCTATGTCTAAAGATCATACACTTACTGTGGGGAAAACTAAATGAAAGCGTGGGAAGATCAGTCCTTGAAAATTGACTGTTGTAGAGGACATAACAGTCCAGGATTTATGAATTCAGTCGTGTAACTCTATCTAGAAATATGTATCTCGCTTTCAATGTTATATTGGTTAAAGTAGACAGTTGAAACTATAGCAGGTATATCTTAACGTGATACGTAAAATCCTGTTTTTTTTTTTTAATCCAGGTTGCGCTATCGGAGTTGTGCCGATGTACCTGTCGGAGGTGTCCCCGCCCAACCTGCGCGGAGCTATCGGCGTCACTCATCAGCTCTTCATCACCATCGGCATCCTGGTCTCCCAGATCTTCGGTCTGCAGCAGATACTGGGTAAGTCATTCTGAGGTCACAATTTCTCCCCACCCAACACACACACCGCACCACACTACGCACGCACTCACACACACACACACACACACACACACACACACACACACACACACACACACACACACACACACACACACACACACACACACACACACACACACACACACACGACACTACACTACACACACACACACAC